GGTGAGAATGGTTGCACAACTTGAAAAATATAATAAATGTCACCAAATGGGACGTGTAGAAACTGTTGAACTGGTGTATGTTTTGCTCTGTATATTCTCAGCAACAAAATAAATAAAATTATATATACAAAAAAAAGAAAAGATCTATCTATATGGGATCAAATTGATAAAAGCAACTTGAAATATTAGACAGGAACTAAAGGGGCAGTGAGTTTATATTAAAGGTGGAGGACACCGCAGAAAAGGATGGTGAGAATGGCTGCACAACTTGGAAGAATATAATCAATATCACTGAATTGTACATGTAGAAACTCGAACTGGTGTATTTTTTGTTGTGTATATTCTCAACAACAAAAATAAATTACTTTTTAAAGAAATACAATAACTGACAAAAAATTAAGGGATTTAACAGTACAGCTGAGCAGTAATCAGCAAGCTTGAAAAACAGGATAACAGATTATTCAGTCTGTGGAACATAAAGGAAAACGAATGAAGAATGAACAGAATCTCAGAGACCTAGAGGACACTATCAAGTATACCAACATATGTATAATGGGAGTTCCAAAAGGAGCAGAGAAAAAGGAGCAAAAAGAATACTTGAAGAAATAATGGACAAAAATTTCCCAAGTTTGATGAAAATGTTAATCTATACATCCAAGAAGCTCACCAAACTCCAAGTAAGATAAACTCAAAGAGATCCACAAAGAGACACATCATAACCAAATGGTCAGAAGCGAAGGATAGAGAGAATCTTGAAAGCAGCAAGAGAGAAGCAACTGAAATATAAAGCCATAATTACTGATACTCAGTAACAGCGTTTTTCTCATCAGACAGCATGGAAGCGGGAAGGCAATGCGATAGTATATTTAAAGAGCTGAAAGAAAACTGAGGAAGACCATCAATGAGATGCAATGACACAGTGGCTGCAACAATGGGCTGAAACATAGCAATGACTGTGAGGATGGTGCAGGACCGGGCAGTGTTTCCTTCCGTTGTGTGTGGGGTTGCTATGAGTTGGAACCGACTTGATGGCACTTAACAATACCACAATGTGACATATGTATCTCCTTCTGCCACAGTGAAAACCTCATCTTCCAGTGACGTTACCCATTTCCTTTATTCACAATAATACACAACAGTCTCAGAATCACAATACCAACACCATCACAAACAAAATTGAACAGATAAATCTGGAGGACTCACTCTTCCCTTTCTGGCAGCAATGAAAAAACAGGCTAATACCAGTCCCCGAGTTCTAACAAGGACACTACTCCAACCAGAGAGCTTCCAAGAGGTTAGGATTCCCCTTTGCTCCAACTCACTAGGATGCATGCAGTCCATCTATGCCCAGCCTAAGCAATGGGAGAATAAGAATTTGGTAGATTATGAGTGCTCTTCTAATTCTCTGCTAGTATGTATTTGACTTAACATCAGAAGTGACTTACAACAGTTGCATAAGTCGGGGACTACCTGTAAATGTTTGCCCAGAAAATTCTGTATTTAAGTGACACTAGTCTAGTGTACATGTTCAGAAACTTTTCCTTTAAAGTTTTTTTATCGTATTTTAGATGAAGGTTTACAGAACAAATTGTTTCTCATTAAACAGTACTCGTATTGTTTATGACATTGGTTAACAACCCCACAGCATGTCAACACTCTCCCTTCTCGACCTTGGGTTCCCTATTACCAGCTTTCCCGTCCCTTCCTGCTTTCTAGTCTTTGTCCCTGGGCTGCTGCACCCCATTAGTCTCGTTTTGTTTTACGGGGCTGTATAAATCTTTGGCTGAAGGGTGAACCTCAGGAGTGACTTCACTACTGAGTTAAAAGGGTGTCCAAGGGCCAAACTCTCTGGGTTTGTTCAGAAACTGTTTATATAATAAATATGAGTAGTGAAAACAGTAAGGTGTTCGGGTTTTTTTTTTTTTTTTTTCAGTTTTTCTGACCTTAGGGTTTATCTCACAAATGATATACAATTACTTCACACACACTTAGGCTAGCTATTATCAAAAACATAAAAAATAACAAGTGTTGGTGAGGACATAGAGAAATTAGAACCCTTGTCCATGCTGGTGGGAATGTAAATGGTACAGCTGCTGTGGAAAACAATTTGGCAGTTCCTCAAAATGTTAAAACACAGAACTACCATATGAATCAGCAATTCTACTCCTGGGAATATACCTAAAAGAATTGAAAGAAGGGACTCAAATAGACACTTGTACACCAATGTTCACTGCAGCACTACTCACAACAGCCAAAGGTGTAAACAGCCTAATTGCCCATCATGATGAATGGATAAACAAAATGTGGTACATACATGCAATGGAATATCACTCAGCCATAAAAAGGAATGAAGGTCTAATACATACTATGATGTGGATGAACCTTGAAAACATTATGCTAAGCAGAATAAATCATTCACAGAAGGGCAAATATTGTATGATCCCATTTACATGAAATATCTAGAATAGGCAAGTGTATGAATAACCTTAAATATGAGAATCAGCATAAAACCGATTCCTATGAAGTGGCAGTCAAATATATCCCAGATTTCCACATTCTCCAAGCTAATGTCCCACTCCATCTCTGACACTGGCCACTCTCCATTCCCTCAGCATTCTTCCCTCCCCTGTTTGAGTTCGGCAATTTGCTGCAACATCTCACAGAACTCACAAACTGTACTTATAGTTAAGTGGTTTCTTAAGGAAGTAACAGGGCACAACTCAGGATCAGAATCAACAAGCTACAATCCTGGATCAGGATCAGGAAGCATGTAGGCAAAGTCTCTCTTCTTCAGTGCAGTACAGCTCTCTCAGCCCCTCTTGGCCATGCAGGCACCCTCAGGACATGCTCCTCTTGGTCCTGCTGTCTGTCATCACCAGCTTTGCCGCAGGGCCCCTTCTGGGTCTCTCGCTGTCTTCAGTGTCACAGCCCTTGACCCGTGTTTCAGCTGTTTTAGGAGCTTCCTTGCCTCCTCATTCTCTCTTCTTTCTTCTTTCTGCTTCTCTTCCTGTCTTTTCTGTCTGAAAAACCTCTGTGGGGTTGGCTGCATATACACACAACTTCTTGTCAATTTCAAGGCAGGGCCCTTCCCACCAGGGGCCATAAACTGAGCAATCCCTTCTTGGTAGGCCACAGATACATCATCTGCATAGTAGGCTACAGCCACCTCATTTGCACAGTCCATAGTCACTTCATTTGCATGGGTATATTGACCAATTCCTGCAAGATGCACACCAATCACAGGGCAAGCTGCGGTCAGACAAAAAGTATCAAACCAAGTAGTTTACAGCTTACCCAGGAAATGCCACAAACCCTCTGGGGTAGTAAACTAGGGTAAAGGTAACTCCTCAGGGTTTAGAGGAAAAATCTCTCAAGCTGTTTTTCCAAAAAAACCAAGGCAAAAGGCCACATAAAGGAATTCATTTCACCACAGCAAGCATATGAAGACCAAAGTTTATTAGTGATTACCAGGAATAAGACGAAGGGGAAAGGGAGGAAAGGGAGACTCATTGCTTAGGGGACACTGAACTTCTGTCAAGGGTGATTGAAAATTTTATAAATGGGATATTGGTGATGGTTGAACAACATGATGAATGTACTTAACATCACTGAATTGTACATGTAAAAAATGCTGAATCAAAGAAAGTCCTGTTTATGCTTCTAACAGGACCACCTAGCTCCTGCAGTTGAGCCTGGGGTTCTTCTCCAAGCAGAGAGAACAAACAAGCCCCTTAAAAAGATGAAAAGTGGTTTTTACTTAGTCTTCACAGATGTGGTATTCCTGTGCTGATCTTTGCTGTCATCAAAACCAAACAGAATTGAATTCAACAAAATATTGATTTAACTGTTCAAGTTCTATAATTCTCAAATGAGATTTCATCAAGAAACAGTATGCAGAGCATTATGCTCTTTTAAAAGCTATATATATATGGGATCAAAATGACAACAGCAACTTCAAAGATTAGACAGGAACCTTAGGGGGCAGTGAGTTTATGTTAATGGGGGAGGAATGACTCAGAAAAGGAGGGTGAGAATGGATGCACAACTCAATGTAATCAATGTCACTGAATTGTACATGTATTAACAGTTGAACTGGCCTATGTTTTGGTGTGTTTATTCTCAACAACAACAACAAAAAACAAACAATACGCAGAGAAAGCAGTGACACCTATTTAAGGGGTCATTTTCGTAACAGTAACTATAATATCCCCTGGCAAAACACTGTTGGAAGCAAGGTATGAGAACACAGCAGTTCATCATACATTTGCTCTACTGTTACATATGCTTGAATATTTCTATAAGAAAAAAACTAAAATGCGCACACGTGCACACAAGCGCCTGAATATATCTCTTTTACTTATTTTTTTATAAAACAACATTCTTTCCAATGCTTGTCTTAATGTTTTTCAAATGCTTTCCCCTCCATATTTATCTGCCTGAAGGGCTAAAAATATGTTCAGTCCATTTAAGGGCATTTCTTTTCTGTATTTCCTTAAAAAGAATTTTTACTGGTAAATATTCACCATTTAAGAATCCACTATTCATCCTACACAGAAATACGTATGTATTGTGAAAGCCCTCAGAAGTTAGCCGTAGTCAAGACTTGTAAGCTTTAGGTAACGTATAAGTTTTAATGCTGCCTAAGATTCTCAAACATAGCAGAAAAGTCACATCTTTTCAACACCGCAATAATTTGTAAAAGTTCCCAAAAGATTAAAATTGAACTCAGACCTGATTACATCATTTAAAACAAATGTAATCTGTAATCAAAGCTGTGAGCAATTCCTATTTCAAACAATAACAAAGAACATGCTTTAAACTACACTAAGTTTAAGTATTAAAGGGTTTTCTTATACCCATAATTGATCAGATTTACAGAGTGGCCATCCTGAGAAAATCTCCTGAAGCACTTCCCTTTAGAGAGGCAGGATAATGCAGTAAATGAGAGAGTGAGCTTGAGGGCCCAACTAACTGTGTTAGATCCTGGCTCTGCCACTTACCAGCTATGTGACCTTGGGCAAGTTCTTTAACCTCTCTGTGCCTCAGTTTCATCATCTGTAAAATAGGGATAATAACAGTAACTACTGATATTGAGTTAAATGAGTTTACACATATAAAGGACTTAGAACAATGTCTGATACATATTAAGCACTAAAGAGTTTGGTGATGAAACTGTTACCACTTTCACAAAACAATCAAAAATAAGCAGGACTTGTTATCTCTACTTATCTGTATAAAGTTATGAACGAACAGAAAGGTCTTGTAAAGTCACCCAATTCCTGAATGGAATAGAAATCTATCTATCTGGGAGACATCACACGGATCACTGATGTTTAACTTCTACTTAAATGGAACAAGTAGTTACAATGAGAAATTTAATCCTCAAAATAATAAATTAATTAAAACTTCCCATTTCACTAAAGATTGATAGCTATGCTTTATGAACACAGAGAACAATTTAAATTCATTTCAATCTTTAAGCCAACAGAGACATGGAGTGGCAAGCAGTCTTGCTGTCAGCAATGGTATGGCACAAAGAAGCTTCATTTTAAGACCACAGGCTAGATAAACAGGCACATGCGCTAAACCTCCCACCCTCGCTAAATCCCAACAGAATAAAGACACTGACAAGGGAACCACAGCATAACAGCAGTGAGAAGGTCTGGGGCCACAGTCGATTTAAATGCCACCACTTTATAGAGATGGAGAGAAAGCAGAGGAAATTGTATTACAAAATAGACTAGTGGAGAGCTGGCCCCTTCCCAGAACACGCAGCGCCAAAGGTGGGCAGAGAGGCACAGTTTTTTCCTGGAGGAGCTGTATAAGCATACAGCTTCTTCAAGACGGCAGGTACAGAGATTAGGAGTAAAAAATTGGTTAAACAACTTGATGTCATCCATACTTCCTACTCCTGATCACTGAATCAGCTAACTCCCACTGAGGCAAGAGGATTGTTGGAAAAATAGAGAAGCCTCCTACCAATTACCTATATAATCAATCCAGTCTTTCACTATAAAGATCACTAGATAGTGAAAGAACACCAAACCAAAACCCACTGCCGTCGAGTGGATTCCAACTCATAGCAACCCTACAGGACAGAGCAGAACAGCCCCATAGGGTTTCCAAGGCTGTAATCTTTATAGAAGACTGCCACATCTTTCTCCCACAGAGCAGCTGGTGGGTTTTCGAACCGCTGAACTTTTGGTTAGCAGTCAACCACTTTAACCACTGCTCCACCAGGGCTCCTTGAAGAACACCAACCGGACAAAAAAAAGGGCAAATAAGATGAAAAGCAGAGCAGACTCCAGAAGAAACATGTACTATCTTAGGTCCCAAAAAAACACGTGGAAAGAAATTCTAATTGGTATCCTCAGAATTGAGAAGATAATGTATCCTTAAAACAAAAACAAAAAACTATAAAGGAAGCAAAAATCTAGAAAGAATTCTTGGAAATAAGAAACATGATTGCCAAGATGAAAAACAAGGGAAGAAATAAAACAGAGTTGGAGTAGGATGTAGGGGATGCAAATATACAAACATGTTTACTTGTATTTTTTTTAAAAAAAGCAATGGAAGAATAAACCAGAATAAATAAATAAATAAAACCGTTTACCTATAAAGCACAGGGAAGAACAAAAGTGAGGAAGGAAGCCAGACTTCTCTCCACCTCACTTTATACTTCTGTTTTAGAACATACAAATACTTTATATAATTTTAAAAAATGAAATTAAAAAGAAAAAAAATATCTGAAAATAAAAAACAGACAAATGAACCAAAACTATTTATCAAGTTGGAAGCTTGACCACTCAGAGAAGGATTATTTCAAGTTATTTTAAAACAGTACTTTGACTGTGCCACTCTTGTGTTTTATATATATATATATACATATATATATACATATATATGTATATATATACACACACACGTATATATATATGTATATATAAATCCCAAGAGAAAAAAAAAAGAATATGGAAATCTTAAAGTTCATTCAATGATCTTATTATTGGTAATAATATTAAATAATACTGGTAAATCTATTTTGAAACTGTGACATACTGTACAGCAAATAAGCAATTATGGTAATGTCATTAGAAACCAAAATTATCATCATGGGAGAATGGATACGAATATAAAATCAAAGAAAGAAAAATCCTTTATTCCTTCAATTGGAAGTAATATGAAATCACGATTTATCTTTTTCTTTACAAAAAGTATATATTTCCTAGCTCTAACCGAAAAGATCTAGAATAATTCACATCTAAGCTACAATGAACATCCCTAATACTATTTCCCACCAAAAAGAATCAGAGCTCCTTAAAGAAAATGTTAATTCTAGATCTGGGGTCAGAAATGAGTAAGATAAGCCTGGGACTTCTTATCATGCCAGAAAAGAGAGAACCCATCTAAGACTACCAGGCCCATGTCAAAGGACCTAGGAGTCAACCTGAAGAATAAGCTCTTGGTGGCCAATAATGGGACAATTTAAGCATCAAAAAGAATAAAAATTGTCCTGGAGTGAAATTCATTAAATATATAAAAATTAATGAGTCTATGATGATACTAAGAAAAATTAATCAGTCATCCTTGGAGGTGTTAGGGCATCAAGCTATTATTCTGAAAACTGATAAGCAAAGGGGGGAAAAAAATCAAGCATTTACCCTATCTTTCCTGTTTAGACTATTTTTTACAAGTTCCCACTTGGAAAAGTTCTTTACCAAAGAGTATCAACTAATAAATACAGAAGAAATGTTTAAAAACCACCATTTTGCAACCCTAATGAAATAGGGGAGCCAGCCAATGACTATCAATCATTGCTAAAATGATTAGGTGGCAATTTGGTGGGAAAGTTTATAATGAAGCCATCAGGCTTGGTAACACCTAAATCTACTGGTTAATCTTAACATCATTAAAAGTGGGGCAACCAGACATTATATGCCTATTGTTGTGATGAAATAGGAAGTACACAGTACCACCTATGAAGTATTTTTGCCTAAAATATTGAATCAGAATCTAATCAAGCCTCTATATCACTGCCCATGGAAACAGCAGTCAAGAAATCAAATGTACTGCATTAGGCAAATCTGCTGCAAAAGACCTCTTTAAAATCTTAAAAAGCAAAGATGTCATTTTGAGGACTAAGGTAGGCCTGATCCAGCCACGGTCTTTTCAATCGTCTCACATGCACACGAAAGCTGGACACTGAAAAAGGAAGAGTGAAGAATGGACGCACTTGAATTATGGTGTTGGCAAAGAATACTGAATATATCACGGATTGTCAGAAGAACAAACAAATCTGTCTTGGAGGGAGCATACCCAGAATGCTCGTTAGAAGTGAAGATGGCGAGACTTTGTCTCACTTACTTTGGACACATTATCAGCAGGGACCAATCCCTGGAGAAGGACATCATGCTTGGTAAAGGAGAGGGTCAGCAAAACGGAGGAAGACTATCAACGAGATGGACTGACACAGTAGCTGCAACAATGGGCTCAAACACAGCAACAATTGTGAGGATGGTACAGGACCGGGCAACGTTTCACTTTGTTATACACAGGGTTGCCATGAATCGGAGCTGACTTGACGGCACCTAACACAACATATCTAGCTAGCAATTTATAGGTAACAGAACACATACAGAAACTCCAAATTTTAAGTATTTTCTTTCGGCCTTTTCAACCTAACTGTTCATAAACCACAGATTTGTTATTTATCTGTGGTTGTTCTAACAACCACAGATACTACAGCTTAGGTGAGTTATGATTTTCACAGGCTTCTCAGGGCATTTCTTACTAGATTTGTTATCTAGTTTCATTTTTATTCCTTTCTACCAGCTTTTTAAAAATCTCTTTTCTGCATGCAGTTTATGAAGAATTTCCTCTGGCGCTCAGAATAAAATCAAATTCCTCACCATGACCTGCACGATTCGCCCACCTCTCCAGCCTCATGTTGTGCCTCCTGGCCCCTCATTCATCACTCTTCAGTCACACAGCACATCTTTCCGTTCTTCCAACATGCCAAGGTCTCTGTACATGCTGGTCCCTCTATCTGAAAGCACTTACCTCCCTCCTACTCACAGTGCACCTCCCTATTATCCTTTAGCTCTCAAAATAAGTGGCATCTCCTCAGAGAGGCCTTCCCTGAGTAGCCTACCTAAACTAGGGCCGCTCCACCCCTACAATGTTGTCTTGGCCTACTGATAGTTTGCAATCATTTTACCTGTTTATTTGCTTGGGTATACCTCAACAACTGGCGTGTAAGCTCCTAAGGACAGCAGTGGCTTGCTCACAACCCGGTCCCCAGAGTCTACAAGGGTGCTGGCAGGCCCTTTGTAAATCTGACATAAATGAACCATTGAATGTTTTCTAGTTGCACTGTCTTGCAAACCCAAGAAATTAGCTCCTGTGGTAAGCTGCCCCTCCACACGTCAGGCCACTGGTCTGCTGAGACCTGGCAGGGGTCATGATGTCTGTGGCCTTAAGAAGGGTGCTGAGGAGAAGACAGAGATCATGGCTCCACTTTGGAAGTCACAGCCAGGTAACAGGATCATTAAGCACCCTCCCTGTGAGCTTAGACTTGGTCTGGGTGGAGAATGCCGTCTATTTCTCTGGAGAGTCTGTTCTTTACCTTTAATATTTATCTGTGGCATCTCTCTCTATATATACACATACCACCAAAGAAGATAAACAAATGGATGATAAGCACATGAAAATATGACCAACATCATTAGCCATCAGGAAATGCAAATCAAAATCACAATGACATACCACTTCACAACCACTAGGATGGGTATAATCAAAAAGACAATAACACACACTGGCGAAGACGTGTAGGATCTGCAACCCCCATTTACTGCTGGCAGGAACGTAAAATGGTGCAGACACTTTGGAACAGTCTGGCAGTACCTCAAATGTTAAATATAGCATTACCACATGACCCAGCAATTCTACTCCTAGGTAGATACCCAAGAGAAATGAAAACATATGTCCACACAAAAACCTGTACACAAATGTTCAGAGCAACATTATTTATAATAGCCAAAAAGTGGAAACAATCCAAATGTCCACCAACTGATAAATGGATAAACAAAATGTGGCATATCCATACAATGAAATATTATTCAGCCATAAAAAGGAATGAAGTACTGATACATGCTGTAACACTGATGAACTTTGAAAACATTATGCTAAGTGAAAGAAATAAAACACGAAAGGCTACATATTGTATAATTCCACTGATATAAAATGTCCAGAACAGGCAAATCTATAGGAACAGAAGGTAGATTAGTGGTTGCCTAAACAGTATCAACTCGACGGCACCTAACGACAAGCTGGAGGAAGACTTCACCTTGTTTACTCTGAACACGTCATCAGGAAAAATCAATCACTAGGAAAAGAAAACATCATGTTTGGTAAAGTAAAGGGTAAGCAAAAAAGGAGGGAAACCCTCCACGAGATGGACTGACACCACGGCTTCAGCAATGGGTTCAAACATACCAACAATTGTGAGGATGGCACAGGACCAGGTAATATTTCATTCTGTTATAGATGGGGTCACCATGAGTTGGAGCCAACTCAATGGCAACTAACAACAACAACAACAAAAAGCTGGAGGTGGGTGGAGGGAATGAGGAGTGACTGTTAATGGGTATGGGTTTTTTTTTGGGGGGGGTGATAAAAATATTCTAAAACTGACTGTGGTGAGTGTTGTACAACTCTGTGAATAAACTAAAAATCACTTAATACACTTTAAATAGGTGAATGTATGGTATATGAATTATATTTCAATAAAGCTGCTATAAAAATACACAAATGAACCACTCCACAAACAATTCCCTCTTCAAAGAAAAAAAAAATAGAAAATTTTATCCCCTCTTCAATCCACAACAATGTAAATCCAAATGAACACTTAATTGTGCTCATAAGGAACCTGTTCATAGACCAAGAGGCAATCGTTCAAACAGAACAAGGGAATACTGAAGAGTTTAAAGTCAGGAAAGGTGTGCGACAGGGTTGTATCTTTTCACCATACTCATTCAATCTGTATGCTGAGCAAATAACCTGAGAAGCTGGAATATATGAAGAAGAACAAGGCA